GTGGCTTGATTCAGTGACTGGGGTAATCGGAGTAAGTTTATTGGAGATAGTGCAGTTGGCACAGGACAGAGCAGAGTTTAGGGCTGTTGTACATAGGGTCACTATGAGTCTCAAGTGACTCGACAGCACATAACAACAATAACATAGAATGCTAAGTGCTGTGAGATAATTTAAAAAATTAACAATTCAGTGAGGAATTTTAAAAAAACCCAACACATAGAATAGAAAAATAACATTAACCCAAAAATAAATGTCAAAGTCATACTGAGTGGCACACACATATTAAATGTCATCTCCAGGAGAGCTGATAAAAAGTTACCAAAAGAGGAGACTCATCTTGAGATCTGGTGCACATGGTTTGTGAGCAAGACAGGAATGCACTGGTGGGAGTTTCAAAAGCACTAGAAGCAACCATCTATGTACATACATATTCAAGGAACTTGAAGTTGCTTAGATTTGCTGAATGGAAGTCAGTGGAATGACAAAAGAGGGAAAGCCCTCTTAAATAATAAAGAGTTATGCTCTTCACAATTAGATGCAGGGTTAAACTTGTATATTCAGAAATATCCATGGTATTATAATATGTACCATCAGGAGAAGTAAATATTACCTAGATAATATTGTAGTTGAGAACAGTTTCTTTGGAAGGGCAGAAATGAAAACAAATTCTGAAATGTATTCCAAAGCCTTGTACTATTTTCTCACTAAAATGTACAGCATTGGAAACCTGCCAAAGGATAATCATGAATCAGAATCAACTTGAAGGTAGTGAGTTTCTTGAGTGGCTTAATAAGACCTTAAGCTTCCAGCTGCTAAATGACAGACTGATGATCGAATTCACACAGAGATGACTCAGAAGAAAGGCCTGGCAACATTCTTCCAAAAGGTCATAGTCAGCTATTGAAAACCTGATGGAAGGAAAGACATGGCGTCACCATGAGTTAGAATTGGCACAATAGTAACTAATTTGGTTTGAGTTTAGGGCTTTTGTGAAATAGCCTGTTCTATGAGGAGGAGGCAAACAGTAAGGACATAGAGAACCTGTGAATATAGGTGTTCTCCATACAGAAAGTGCCTGAAATCTTTTAAAGAATAAATCTTTTCGTCGTTAATTTGAAAGCTGTCATCCAAATTGGCATGGGATCTTAGGATGACAGAATGGTTTGAAAGACCCTGTGGGGTGTTAATAGAACTAAGAAACCCCCCTGTGACCCACATGAACCTTTGACCAGCCCACTGGATAGGGTCCTTAAATCAGCAGACCATTTCCCTAGTCTACGGCTGATAGATTCTGTTTTTTACAAGGAAACATTATTAAAAGAAGATAACTTGAATTTACTTGTCATAAGAGGCTGACTTATCATTGTAGTTGTTTCAAATGAATTTTTATACTATGAAGCCACCTGGTTTTGACTCCATGTTTCCACTAGGCATCCATGCATGATGCTTGGTTCCCAGAGCTCTAACACACCAGAACTTGTTGAGGTCAGTAGAGGAATGAAGTAGGGTGTTAAATGTTTTTTTAAAAAGATCAAAACACCCTATTTTGAATCCCACCTCTACCACTTAATGACTATGTGGGCCTCTTCAAAGTTGTTTATGTTCTATGAACTTAAGTTCAGTTTTCTCATTTGCAAATAGAAATGATGATCGTAGTAACTCCTCTTTTTATGATGTGAACATTAATTAAGATAATATAAGTAACATTTATTGACTGTCTGAGTGTCATCATTTCCTGTTCTAATCAAACTATCAAAACACACACAACCCCTGTCTCTGAGTCCATTCTGACTCACAGCGACCACCAAAGAGTTTCTAAGGCTATAACTTGTTACCGGAGAAGACTGCCTGTCTTCCTTCCTCAGTGCTGCTGGTGGTTCTAAAGGGATATTTTTTAGGCTGACAGTGAAATACATGGGCACACCTTCAATCAATCTTAAAATCACTTCCAATGTTTTCATGAAGGTGAAATATTCCTACTTCAGTAGGAATAAAGCATTCTCTCTGCTTCATGGCATTTTCCTTTCAGTTGAAAGGTTGTTTTTATAAAGAACTAGGCTGTGTTCTGTTTGTTTTGTTTTTAGGGGAATAGTTTGGGTTTGAGTTTTGGAGTCAGGGAGTTTTTGTTGGTGACTTCAAGGTAAAAAGTTGAAAAGCAATTATTAACATGAAAACAATACCCATGTACCCAGGAGATTTCAGATTTTACTCCAGACCACGGAAATAAAACAAATAAGAAATAGAGTGAGTCACATGACTTTTTTGGTTTGTTTCTCAGCACATATTAGACAGTTAGCCCTTGTAGTAAACAAGGCTACATGTTGTAGAGTTATGTAGTTCAGGTTGATGGTTCAAATCTATCTCCTCCACTGGAGAAACTTAAGACAATATGTTCTCACTAAAATGTACAGCCTTGGAAACCTGCCAGAGGATAGTCATGAATCAGCATCAATTTGAAGGCAATGAATTCTGTTTTGTTTTGTTTTGAGTGCATACGAAAGTTAATTCTAACTATACTGTAATTTCAAGTGTGCAATAAAAACAAAACCAAAGACACTGTCACCAAGTCATTTCCACTTTATAGTGACCTCCATCAAGTTTCAGAGGCTGTAAATCTTTACAGAGTTAGGTATCAGAGGCTGTAAATCTTTACAGAGTTAGGTAGGCTGTTTCTCACTCCGAGCTGCTGGTGGATTCAAACCACCAGCGTTGGGGTTAACAGTGCAACATGCTACAGGCTATACCACCAGAGGTCCATTAAGTGTGAAACAACTTTATTGAAGAGAAATATTGTGTAAATTATCAAAATGTGACTGAGTCATGAAACGAGCACATACGAATGGGGTGAAAACATAGCAGACTTGCTCAATGCAGGCTTGCTACAAACATTCAATTTATTTTTTTAAAAGGTAATTACCAGTGAAGCACAATAAAGTGAAGAGAAATAAAATTATTTGTGCCTATATTCAAACAGATTGATCAAGATGTGCATGCATTTAGGGTTCAGTCTCTGTTCCAGAGTTGTTCTGAGAATGTGTCGGGTTTTGTTTGACTGAAAGTTATAAAAGTCCTTTCTCCTCACCCCTTTACTAAGCTGTCCTTTATTCACCACCAGTCTCCTGAGGCTCTGCACTTTGCACAGCACTAACCAGCCTTTTTCCCATTTGAAGGTACTACATTCTCTGCTACAAGTGGAATGAAGAGCCCCCAGTGAGCCCCGACACCTGTGCTGCTATTTTGGAAAAAGCTGGTCTTGAGCATTGGGCTCTTGGGAAAACAAAAGTAATATTTTCCTATAAATTTCCTATTTTAGTAGTTATCTTGGCCTTACTGAGAACTGAATTTCAATGAAAATTTTACTGAATCTGTAACCAAAACTCAAGATATAAACTTATAAATCGACAAAGGTTTCTTTCTTCCTCATAATTAAAACCTCTACTCTCCCTAATTGATTCTTTTAAGAAAGTCAAGACAGCGTTATTTTGAATAATCATTTTAAAACAGAGTGAAATTTCATTTCGAATAATAATAACTGAATCCCCACCTGATAGAGAAATTTCTAAAAAGATTGAATAGTCATAGTAATTTAAATACAATCCCTGTTTTTCTCCTAACTCAGATGGTTCTGTGGCACATTTGACATTTATCTATGTAAAATATTCACTGTTGTTTGACTCAGTATCTGTTATAGTTGGATGGTAGTGTATTTCTATGTAGAATTTTAAAATCCACAGGAGGAAAAGGGGCAATCCTCCTATGTGCTTTACCCGTGTGGAAACCCTTGAGTTTTAGGCTTTTTAAGACATCATTTCTATTTTGAGATTAGATTTGTGGACAGAATTGGCCGACTGTTCAGATGAGGATTTAGCCATAACCATTTAAAGAATTTATAAATTTTTTAAAGTCTCTTAGAATGAATGTCCTCGGTGTTCAATAATCCATATTTACTTTCATATTAAATAGGAGGAAATCCTGTGCATGACCAGGGGTCTACTTTATCCACACCATTTTTCTTTTAGTGTTCACAGAGATGATTTTCATCAAGCTGAAATCTTGTGATTTATGGTCTGAAACACATGCCCAACTTCAAATGGAGTTTTAACTTGTAAAAAAGCCCTTTGCCGTTCCTGTTCTGCCTGGTATTTAAGTAGCATTTTAAAGTTATTTGTATTTTTCCACTTCACCTTTTCCAACTCATTAAGATGGATAAAAGTATTTAATATAGAAACATTTCTAATGCTATGTGGGGGGGGAAATGATGACCTTTTTCAGAAGATTGAATTTTAAATGAATTGTCAACAGCAGAGCAGACTAAATATATTAACATCTAGAGTCCTGCAGAAATTAAAACTAAATTCAATCAAAAATCTATAATGCTAAGCTGTTTGCCCTTGGTGCCAAGCTTTCAACTATTGGAACGTTGGGAGAATTCTACCATCAGGGTTACCAGGGCTCATGACTCACCGGCTAACTTTGAATTTAAGTGACTTTCTTAGTGCATTTAATAAATTCTCTTAAAAATAATTTTTACTAGTAAATTTAGCTTTTAAAAAGGGAGAGGTTTTTTGTTTTTGTTTTTTTTAGAAAAAAAAAGTCATTATCAACACAACTCTGGGTCTTCCCTTCAGGGCACTCTCTGACTCATTTTGGTTTTAAAATTAGCCAAGGTAACCCTGCGTAGCATGGCAATCTTTGGGACTGTGGAGAAAGTTGTTAATAGATCTGACTGTGACCTCACCTCTACCATATCCTCTCCACTGACAACTTAATCAACCCCCCTCTGGACAGTGTCTCACCTTATTCACCTTTTCCTTCTGAGGACTTTCAAAGGTCTCTATAAATGCTTGATGAGTGAATTAGTATAAAAAACAGTAACCCTCCAGATTTGGAAAGTATTATAGTCCTTTTTTCCTCTACGTAAATATTAAATTGGTTTTTCTCTTAATAATAATTTTAAAAAATTGTTGTTTTGTGCTGTTTAACTCTAACTGCATCTCTGGAAAATCCTTGGTAAAAGACTGAAGATTGATATGCTCCAGAGTGAAACCTGAGTATTATTATTGTCTTTTTAAAAAGTAAAAATTAAGTTAAAAATAACACAATAACTGCCATCATCTACATTCTTTCTCAAAGAGAGATTGTCTTCAAGCATAAAAATCTATAATTTAAAGCAACATGCAGGTCAAAGAAGCAAAAGATAGTGATTGCCGAAATCTAAAAAGATTTAGACCATACATAGTCTCCTCCTCAAAGCAAACTTCATGACTGTCAGATGGTGACATAGTTTTATTCATATTTTATTTCATTCTTTTTAGGTATTCCTTAAATATTATCATGTGGAACAGTTAAATTTAATGAGAAAGGAAACCATTGACAAGCTTATTTTGATTCAAGCCTGTGTCAGAGGATTCTTGGGTTCAAGAAGGTACCATAAAATACAAGAGAAGAGGAAAGCAAGTGCTATGATAATACAGTCAGGTAAATGTCTCTATGTGAAAACATATCTTGGTTGTCTGTTAGTGTTAGTTGCCGTCAACCTCAAGGGCAGAGAACTGCTGTATAGGGTTTCAAGGCTGTGGCCTTTCATTCAGAAAGCAAGCGTGTTTCCCAAGGCACTGTTGGATAGATTGGAACTTTCAACTTTTGGCCTCATAACCGGGCATTTCAACCACTTAAGCCATTCAGCAGTTGTGTTTAAATATGAGTATAAAGTAAAATCTTACTTTCAGATATAAATCCCACTTTCTCTGCAGCTTTTGCATTGCATTCCGGTCTATGTTGCATTGTTTCTGTCTCTAAACTAAATCTAATCAGATAGTTTAAGTGATGGACGTTTTTAATATTTGAAGAAATGTTTTCTTTTCAGTGAAATTTAATTTTAATGTTTTCTTCCAAGTATTGTGGAAACATTATTTATTATGCAAGATACGACAAATTATTCAGTTAGCTATTTAGCTCAGTAATCATCAGCATAACTCATTGGACAATAGGCTTTTCCTATTATATTCAAAAGGTTACACTTGACATAGTTTTTGGCAAATTAATTAAACCCAGGCTGTTAAAGGGCATTTCTCTCTTTCTGTTAACTATAGGGAAATAATATTTATAAATATGCTTCACTGTGAATTTTTATTAGGAAATATTGGTTGAGCTTAGATTCTACTTTTTATTTTTCTATTTATCACTGTTATGAAATACTGTCAAATGGACTACAACCTGTAGTGATCCTAGGTTTTTCTGTTGTTGTTTGTTGTTATACGATGCTTTCGAATCAAGTATGACTCATAGTGACCCAATGAAAAATAGAGGCTAAATTAAGAATATAGAATATGTTAGTACAGGTCTTTCAAAATTTTTTACTAGTCACTCACAATAAAAAAAAAATCTTTTTCTTCATAACAGGATACATAGATACTACAAGCAATGTACTCTAAGGTTTTCTGTTCCAGTGTACTCCATTTCTTTCCTAGTGGCCTACCCTGGAAAACCCTCAAGGAGATGGATTGATTTAGTGATTGCAGCAGTGGGAACTTATGGCAGAGATGATGAGGATGGCACAGGACTGGACAGATTTCAGATCTGTCATTCATAGAGTTGCTATGAGTCTTACTTGACTTGACAGCACCTAACAACAACAGCAATGCCATAGGGAGTTACACTGCTAACCCAAAGGCTACACTTCTCTGGAAGTTTAAATCCATGAAAGAAAGATGAACAATCTCCTCCCATGCAGTTTACAGCCACTGAAAACCCACTGGAGGATCAGCATTGAATGGGTTCTGACTCAGTAGCAATGAGGGATTTTTTTAATATAAATCTATTCCATGATGCATTGTTTTATAACCTGCATTCTCCAAATCACTAACATAATGTATATAAGATTGTTGTTTTAGGTGCTATCAAGTCTACTCTAACTCATGGTGACTTACTACGTACAGCAGAATAAAGCCCTATCGGTCTTATACTTGAGCCCATTTTTCCAGTCACTGTATTGATTAACTTCATTGAAGACCCTCTCTCCCAAGTATGATATCCTTTTCCAGGCACTGACTCCTTTTGATAACATGCCCGAAGTATGTAGGGCAAAGTCCCACCATCCTTACTGCTTAGGAACTCTCCGGCCTCTTTTCTTTCCTCCAGTTTCAATCCTGCCCATCAGTAATGAGTTACAACCATGTCTTTTGGAATTTTAAGTCCTTAACTTTCCACTACTATTGGACATAGAGATGCAAACACTGATATTTGATATTTAAGAGATAATCCTGTAGGCATAATTCAGAATTCATAAAGCTCTGAAAATATTTTTTTTCATAACCCATTTGTTAGTAAATCATAGCCTTTGTTGGGCTATTTGTAATCCTTTGTTCATCCATCGTAGTAAAAATATTCTGTATGTCGTCTGCAGAAACACTCATGCTTGGTTATAGGATGCCGCCTCAGCATAAGTCATGCTGTAACAGAAAATGTGCCACAGAATGGCATTATCTTCCTGAAGATAAGGAAAATTCTGTTATAAGGGTTTCAGGCCATTTGTTCATAAGGTCACTATGAGTCGTGTTCAATTTGAAGGCAATCAACAACAACAATCTGAACTCAAGGCCAATTATTGACTAATAAGGCCCAAAACATAGATAATAAAGGCTCTCCCTAATGAAAAACTAAATATGGCCAAAATAAAATGAAAATATTTAATCATAAATTCTAAGCAAATGAGGATAGTTTCTTTTGATTTTTTAGTCCTCTATTGTTTTAATTATATCTCAGTCTGAAAAGCTCTTTACTTCTTTTATTTCTATAGTTTTTTATCTATATCAGCCTCATATGATTTTTATGGTTTTTATAATCTTGTTTTCTTTTTAAGTTTTACTGTCATTTCCTTCTTAGACATTTTTTATGATCATATATAAAAAATGAAAGCACTTTTTAAATTCATTTAACCTATATTCCTTCATTTCTTAATGAATAATACAGCTTACATGTGCCTTCTATGTTTCAGCTGCAAGAAAACATCTACTTGGGAAGCAAAAAAAAGAAATTGTTAATACAAAACCCACAGCAGTAACAGTCATTCAAACTCATGAGTTTGACTACAAGAAAAACTTTGCAAATAAAAGGTATAGTGATATTTATTCTTTTTGGTTTGGGCATTTATTGGATATTAAATATACGAGGTCACAGGATAATGTGCAGAGTCTAGCCATTTCCCTAAAACTGGAACAACAAATGTCAGTGAACACCAAAGGCCACATGTGTCCTTTGTCCTATTTGGGAATTCAATGGCATTTCACAGTGATGAACACACTTTCATTCTCAAAGTTTTATCTTACCTAGTATCTTAGTTATTTAGTGTTTTATGATAAGAAAACAGGTGTTCTATGAATAATACTAATTGTTTTTTAAGAATAATAATTTACTCTCTTGGAAGAAGTGCAAGCAGCGTGTTCCTTAGAGACAAGGATAGCAGAACTTCATCTCACATAGTTTGGGCATGTAGTCAGAAGGAGGAAAGTCCTCCCAAGGACTTTAGGCTGATACATTATGCTGATACAGGCTCAACAAAAAAGAAAAAGACCCTTGATGAGATGGGTTGACACAGTGGCTACCGCAGTGGGCCTGAGCATGACAGAGATTATGAAAATGGTGTCACACAGGGCAAAGTTCAGATGTTGTGTTCATGGGGACTTATGAGTGGTAGTCTACTTAATAAGGGCACCTAAGAACAACAATTTATTTTTTCGTTGGTAAAGTTCAGGGCTGGAACAGAAATACCACAAGTAGTTGACTTTAAATAACACCAACTTATCACTTCACAGTTAAGGGCTTAGAAGTAATTAGGTTTTGAACCTACGCTACTCTTTATGACCTAATTAAACTCAAACCCCAAAGTCATTGCCATCAAGTCACAGCCAATTAATAGTTGGACCTCCAGTAATGAATAAGAGGCTGTAAATCACATGGAAGCAGATTTCCTCTTTCTCTCACAGAGCCACTAGTGGATTTGAATCATTAGAAAGGTGTTACTTTGGGTTACAACACTTTATGGACTAGGTAACCAGAGGCCCTATGTCGTAATTAACACAGCATATAAAATCTCTTTGCAAGTGGGAAGCAAAAAAAAAAAAAATGCCCATCAATAAGTGACTATATCGAAAAACTATGGTATGTTCATAAAATGGAATACTATGCAGCACTGAAAAAAATGACCTCATAAAACATTACACAACGTGGGTGACCCTGCAGGACATTATACTGAGTGAAATATCTCAGTCACAAAAGGACAAATGCTGCACAGCACCACTGTTATAAAGCAGGTCTGACATTAGAGTTTGGGAGGAAAATAGGGTAAAAGTGGATAGATAATGAACATTGCGCTGGAATAGATGAAGGAAAGAACTGTTTAGAAGTAATATATGATTAGGCATTAGCTACGACAGTAGCCCAGAATAAGAGGTACATTGCAAAGAGGACTGGGAGAGTGGGAGGGAGATAATTGTACAACAATGAATTAAAATGTTAACCAAAAAAAAAGTGAACAGGGGAGGGGGAAGGGAGAGGGTATAAAAATGTGCAACAATGAATGAATTAAAATCTAACTTTTCTGTAAATTTTCATTAAAATCACAATTAAAATTTGTTTAAAATAAAGAAAGTCTCTTTGCAAATAGGAGCATACCCACACAGGGCTAGAGACCAGGATGTTACAAGATAATTTTGGGATACACAATCCAAACTATAAGACTTGGATTTTGCTGAATTGTTCTCTACATTTATGCTTCTAATTCTTACCTCTCTCTCCTACGTAAATAATATCCTTGAGCTCTCATGTTCATTCCTATGGCCTTAATCACTTATATACCATTGTCCCTTAAGATGTAATAGCCATCTGCATTTTCTTTTCCTGAACCTGCATATCAAAATTTCCAAATACATATTAACAGATACTTCTGAATTCATTCATTCAGTGGGCTTTATAGCATACATAAATAGATCAAGTTCTTATCCTCAAATTGCTGGCAGATTCAAGGAAAAGAAGTAAGAGCAATAAATCATAATTATAGTAAAGTGGGTTAAATATGTTATAGAAATATATACAAAGAGTGCCATGGGGACATGGAGGGGAAAAACCTATTCCTTTTTTGAAAGACACCGATTTCTAAGGCTTTAATAGTTATGAAAGTAGTTCTATATCTTTCTGATATGAAGTAGTTGGTAGGTTCAAACTGCTAACCTTTTGGTTAACGTCTTAGTGCTTAACCTTTCTGATATGTGAGCTCTTTTTAGGCATTTTCTTTGCCGTTGAGTTAATTCTGTCTAATACAGCCCTCTATTGAGTTTCCAAGGCTGAAAATCTTTATAGGAGGAAACTGCTCCTAATTCTCCTGCAGAGCAACTATTAGACACAAACCAATGACTTCCACTTAGCAGCTCAGCACACAGCACAGGATGCCACCAGAATGCCTAAGTAGGCATCAAGGGTCAGGAAAATGTGTATATTTTGCCTAAGTATTAAAACTTAATTAATTACAAGATAAGTAAGTGGTGTTTTAGGAAAAATTCATTCCAATCTAAATCCCAGCCCTTGACTTTGTGTGGTTGAAATGGTGCAGGACAGGGTAAGCTTCCAGTCTTGTTCATAATGTTACTATGAGTTTCAGTCAACACACGGGCACCTAACAACAATAACCGTGTATGGGATCCATATCAGAGAGCACAAACATAAACAAGAAACTATCTCTACTTTTGTCTCAAATGGGAATTTATGTTAATTGGGTTTTCACAAAAGGTAGAACACAGAGAAAGACATTTAACCAGAAACTCATAGGAAGCTCAGAGGGTAAGAGTGAACGGTTGGAGATAAGAAGGTGGAGAAACTTGACACAGCATCCTTCTTTGAAGGCCACTTTGAAAGCAGGTCACTAAAGGACCAAATATTGCCTCCTCTAACAGAAAACATGCCTACCACAAATCCTTCCAAGAAACAGGCCTGCCAGTGTGTCAGGTTATGATTTTTCAACTACACCTTGACAACCTTTTCTTGGCTGGGTAGTTTTTATGAGAGTTTGCATTGGATATAGGAATCTAGGAGGGAGGGGAATAAAGCAAAGAGAAGATCATATCTTCAAATTAAGGGAAAATCAATTTGAGAGGATATTAATAAAATATCAACTATGAAATATAAGGTGACAATATTACATGGGCATGAGCTGTAGAGGAGATAGATACCCTTTCATTTTCTAAGCTGTTTCCTGTGATCATAGACTTGGAGATTATTAAAATCCAGAATAACAACCTATTTATTGGTCTCAAATCCAGATGTACTCCTCCCTACATGCTTGGCCCTAGTTATTTTATTTTGAAAGGAGTATATCTAGAAAAAGATTAAATATTGATGCCTCATTAAAAGGATAGCATGATTATTCAAATGCTAGGTTAGTTCCCATTTTTAGTTGAAATCAGACTTCTCGTTACTTAAGTAGCCGTCACCCTTATTGCTAGTGAGAACACTGAGGGAGATGCTTTTGTTCCTCTTGCTTTCCTCTCAATATTACATTATATCATGTATATCTATTGGTGAGAGTTAGTAGGTGTTATTTAGTTTAGTATTATATATTCAAATACAATATGCTTAGTATCATATTCTCAGACACGATATGTTTTACACAGGGAATCTATTTTGAAGAAACAAACTGAAAATGCAATCTCGACTAAAGAACCATGTTTTTCGGCTCCAAATAATAAAGGGAGCACATCTGTAGTGAAGACTTCTACCTTTAAAGCTGAAGGAGAGTTCATCAGTGCGGTAGAAAGTAACAACAGAAGATATCAAATGCAGAGAAAACTAAACAATATGAATGAGGACGTGAGTAAGCAAGAATTGCATCTCATGGGAGATTCTTGGCTAGAACTGAGTCCCAAACAGAAGCATATCAGAGACGTGGAAGAAGGCACTAAGGTAAGGAAACTGGAGGAGGAGGATGCTGTGATCCAGAGTTACTATCAAAGGTACACAGAGGAACATTTTGAAGACCCAAAAATGGCACATGTGGAGAGGAAGGGCATATCGGAAAGGCCAAACTATTCAGGGCTGTGGTTAGCCAAGAACGGGACTAAGCAGCCTTCGTCTAAAAGCACGTTGGAACCTAGCCTTAGCCAAAGGTCGATTTATCAAAATGCACCCAGCAAAGAAAAAGAAAAGAAGACATCTGTGGTTACCCAGAATGCACCCATACGCAGCCAAGAGAAAAGCCACTGGAGGCATGGGACAGTCAAAGAGAGGCAGGGTGAGCCAGTGACGCAGGACTGGGAAGAAGACAAAGCAGCAGTGTGCATTCAGAGTAAATACCGGTGTTATAAGAGAAGGCAGCAATTAAGGCAGGATGGGCTGTCCTCTTCTTTTAAGAACCAAGAGGCTGATGCAGCAAAAATGGAAGTAGAAGGACACCCTCAAAATTTATATTCCTGTCCCATAAAACATGAGGAAAGCTGTAATAATATCAAGATGAGGGATAACCAAGACTCAAAAGCAGTTTCAGAAAAAGAAGCATGTGATTTGGCAGTGTTTTCACAGCAGGTATGTTAATCAACAAGTTTCTTTACTAGCAAAACATCTCTCATAAATGTACACTAACTGAATTAATGACAGATATGTTGTTTATCTGCTTTCAGGAGACTCTAAGACTATTTGATAAGATCTATCAAGGGTTATACTAATTGAAAATAGCCATTAATTTGTTAAACAAACTTAATGTGATACAATATCTAGTTTAGTAAGGAGATTAGTGGTTGTTTTACTAAAATATGCAGCTTAGCAAAATGATTCTGTTTGATAGTGCAAATTTTCATGTTATGAGATTATTCATTATAGCTAAAAAAAATAAAGATATTAGAAATCTGCTAAAATTTATACTTTCTCCTTGCCCCAGACCTCATTTGAGAATGCCTTATTATCTATCAAAAGTAGGTCTACAGTCATTCATAGGCATGTATGAAAGAATGAAAGTTTGCAATTATAACAATGAGGAGACACATAAAGAAATATATTTTTTTAATTCCCTCTTAGGCAATATCTCATGCTACCAATAGAAATTTCAGCTCCTTTTCTAAGAGGGAGAAATAAGATACAAGGGGGGGTTAAGCTTCTGGTGGGTAAACTTGGAACTCTGGTAAGCAAACGTGGTTACATGGATAAACCAGGAAACAATCTGGTAACCTTGCTTCTAGGACCTACTCTCTCTGACTAGCAGCTTGATCTGAAAATCACATGTCAGTCAAGACCTCTATTTTCTCCTGTGTAAAATGCTGGGGTTTAACTACATAGCTATATTATAAATTAATTTAATTTATAATTCTAATAAAGAGTCACTCAGTGATGTGTAGAATAATAGACAAAATATCATAATGGGTGACTTTCAAAGAAGGATCCCTAAACTCTGGATTTTGTCTCTGGTGGTGCCCGAGCACGTGAGAAAGTTCAGTAGCTGCCCTTGGACACACTGCTTGGCAATAGCCCTGTGGTGCAAATGTTTCCAACTTCTGAATGCCAATAGAGTTCTCTCATTGGTTAATTTTTTTTTACACCATTCTTTTTTTTCTTTGTTAAAGCACATACAGAGAATGAGTTTCAAATACATGCAGCCCCCTGAATGAAAGAATGCTTTTCTAATTTATGCTTAAATATCTTCACTCTTAAAGACCAAGGATTAAACCTGCTATACCATGGAGACATGAAAGTGATTGTCTTCCCTAGCATGAGACACACCTCGATCTGGCTAAGAACACTGTAGGACAAAGCTAGAGGCAGAACAGCAGGGCCATGCACTGAACCCGGTGTTCACAGGGCCACTGCTCAGAAGAAACAGGTTGAATGGAAGGAGAGGAGCCCAAAGAGGAATAGTGCTAAATCCAGGCTATTGAGACTGGTGGGGTGGGGAACAGAGGGTGGGAACAAAGTTGAAGGTAGTAGGGAAGTGCCTTGGGAGGAAAGCAGAAAGATGCTTACTGCAGGAACAGAAGCCAGATCTTAGAAACTCCAGGAAGGAAACATTAAGATCCCAGGCCTCATGGAGCGCGCCATGTTTGGCAGGTCCTGCAAAATATGAGATGGGCAGACACAAAGGGGAATATTATGCCATGTGAGGACTTTCTTATACCCTGGTTATAAAGGCCAAGGTGGCTCCTGGGGAAAATAGGCAAGGCCCAGGACCAGCAGACCTGTGCAGCTCTCCACATTCCTTCCTCCATCTAATCTGACACCTGACCTTCTTTCTAGATCTCAAAGGTATCTGAAGAATATTTCATTCTACAGAAAAAACTGAATGAAATGATTTTGTCTCAGCAACTGAAGCCTCTTTATCTGAGTGTCTATCCCCATGAGCCAATTAATAGACGGGCTTCTTCTCATCAGAACCTCTCAGGTAAAATTCAGTAAAGACCTTCCTGAAAGGGAAGGAAATTCCACATGCTTTATTTCATTTGTTCATTAGTTTGGGGTTGGTTTTTTTTTCCATTTTTATTCCATGGTAGATTTGAAGTGACTGAAGTGACACTGACCTCACTATCTTGGGGAGAGCTTTCATCTCTCCATCTCTTCTTTATAATCTTTTTTTTTTATATGCATACTCCTCTGGAATGTTCTACACAGATCTTTTCTTCTCTGAAATCATTATTCTCCTCTCATTTTCTTCCTCTTTCTTCCCCTCCTGTACTTGTTTAATAAAACTTGGTATGACACAGAAGATGATAGCAAGAACTAGAGTGGGGAGGATCCTGGGATGCAAGTTTCGAAAGGAGCAAGCAAAATGTTTCTATTCCTTTTTATCAGTGTCAGAAACTTTGACAATAGGGTGTGGGAAGATGAAATCTCAGTTCAGATGTACAGGAAACACTATGTTTCATTTTTTTTTAATTGACCTAAATGACGTTCTGCCCTCTTCCTTACTGAAGGGAAGTTTGATTTTGTTAGTTATTGGAAGTCTCCGTTCCCAGGGTTGTGCAAAGGTTGTACATGACCAAAGTACTAGGTGGACCTTGCTTGTGCTGGTAACTGGTCTCCATGTTTCCTTTAAATTCAGAGGTTCTGCTGCCCCCATACTGTGCAGGAAGCTGGAGTCTCACCTCTCTCACACACACTGAGCTGACAATCATCTGTATTCTTACTACTTTCTTCAGCCTAAAGCTCCCCTGAACATCAAGAGTCTCCTTGCCCTGGGCCCTGCTGGCTTCTGTCTGGTAGAAGCTGTCCTCTCGTCTCTCTTCACCCTTTCTGGAACACCTGGCATTATCTCTGCATAAGTGAGTTTAATTACAGTTTGTCAAGATGTTTCCAGCTAGTGGAGACTCCATGTGTGTTAGGGTAGGACTTGCTTCACTAGATTTCAACAGCTAATTTTTTCAGAAGTGGTTCACTAGATTTTTTTTCCAAGGAACTTCTGTTGAATTTGAATCTGCAAGGTTTCAGTTAGCAGCTGAGCACATTAACTGTTTGCACCACGCAGACATTGCCCAGTGAGTCTGTTGTTAAGTAAGTGTTATCAAGTTGACTACAACTCATAGAAACCCTGTGAACAGATGTGAACCTACCCTATCCTGGACCATCCTCACTCTTATCTGATATGTCCGAGTTGTTGTTTCAGTCACTGTGGTAATCCATCTGGTTGGAGGTCTTCCTCTCTTTGCTGACCCTCCACTTTTACCAGCATGCTATCTATTTCCAAGGGCTGACTCTTACTGACAACACGGCCAAGGTATATGAAGCAAAGCTTTACAATCCTGGCCCCTACGGAGCACCCTGTTTGTACTCCCTCGACGACAGATGTGTTTGTTCTTTCGCTCAGTGAGTTTTTATATCATACGAAATCCAGAAAGAACTACAGACTTCATGTAGCCTCTGATTTCTGCACTATAAAAATCTGAGGCAATAAAATACTAAGAGTTACACTCAGCTCTTTACCTAATACAGGGAAAAGAGAAAAATACCTTAATTTTTCAAGAAATTATCCTGCCACACATTATTACAAGTAAAAAATAGTGATGGAGCTTTAAAAAATTTTAGAAACTGCATTGAAAAATGCCTCTCTGGCCCTCTCCACCCACTACTGCTCCTTGGCTCTGTTCCACAACCTCTTTCTGTTAAGAAAACAGTTTAGCAAATCAGAGCCCACAGGCTGGCCCATTAGTTTTGCTGCTGGCAGGAGCATGCCCCAGAGGGCATGCTGATGGGCCTGGTATAAGGGAGTGAGCCAGAACTAGGAGGGAAGGCCCCCAGGGACTTCTGTTTCTTTCTTTGTTGCTTATGCAACTACCCTAGTGAATGTGGGGCCAGTGAGAAATTAAATGGTATAGGAAAAATAGAGGAAAGCCAGGCATTATTCCATGTGTAAGGGAAATCTGGTGGGTTAGTGATAAGAAGTCAACCCTTTGAAACTATCAGCTGCTCCACAGGAGAAAGATGGGCAGTCTCCTCCTGTGTGCAATTTACAGTCTCTGAAATCCTGCTAGAGAACAGCTATGAGCGGGTTCCCACATAGCACCCAGGGACGACAGCAACATTCCATGTGTAAGCTGTTTAATCTGATCCATAGGAGTTGACCAGGGTGAGGAGTAGGAGGTGGGGAGTAGAAACAGCTTCATAGAGAGGGAATGGCGGCTGCTGCTGCTACATCACCATGACTTCACTTTGGAGGGATTTTGAAAAGGCCAGAAAAGCTAAAGAATTTTGCTGGAAAGTCAATTAATTCACTTTCTTTTTTCAAGTTCCTGTTTTTGTGGGGCTACAACTATTAAGAGAGTGTTCCAATGGCTTATTCCATAAAGAGTTTCCCTGCTAATTCAGACTCCCTCCCTCTGGGGTTCTAAATCTACCAGTGGCTCAGCAGGAGAAAGACAGCAGTCTCCTCCTGTGTGATTTATAACCTCAGAAAACTGGCTGGAGGGTCAGCTCTGCGTTGGTTCTGACTTGAAAGCAGTGAGTGAGTGAAGAATTGTCAGAAATTGTTAGTTTACTTAGATAGGATTGTAGGTCTAACATTTCTTTAGCCACTGGGAATTGAGAGGAAATATCTTTTGTTTAATTGCCCCATATCTCAGAGATTATCAGAGGAAATGCCCGAGAGAGGACTTGAAATAGCAAAAGATACTGAGATCCAGGTAGGCCCAACAACCAAGAGGCAAGAAGTTGTTGCTGTTGTGTTGCATGTACAACAGCATAAAGATAGACACCATTGAGATGTTGTTGTTAGGTACCATTGAGTCGACTACGACTCATAGCAGCCCTGTGAACTATAGCTCTAAACCCTGCCCTATTCTGTGCCATCCTCATAATTTCTGATATATTCGAGTCCATTGTCATAATAATTGTGTCAGTCTGTCTAAAAGTCAGGAATAATTATAGGTGTTTGGACAATAGATTACAAGACATTCTGTAATTGACTTCTCATGCTTGTTCTCATTATTATCATAACTGGCTATAAATTACATGGGAAGAGATTGCCCGTCTTCTCAATTGGAGCTTCTGGTGAATTTGAACTGCCAGAGAGATGTGCCCTTTGGATTAGCAGAGTAATTCGCTGCAGAGCAAAGGATTGACTGCACAGGTTTCTAACATGGTCAGCTGGGTGGATAATGGTGCCATTACCTGAGACAGAGCATTATTAGATAACTAGCAGGAGTGTGTTTGGTTTGGGGCATGGTGAGTATGAAGAGCCCTTGATGCATTCAGGTGGCCTGTCAAAAAAGGAGGTGGGCATATGGGTGATGACTGAAGCTGCAGCGTAGATGAGATCATACAGGAAGCCACATACAGGAGCTCAGAGGAACACCTCAGAGAAGGCTAGGCGAGCGCCACCATGTGGAAGTCACAGACAGAGGAATCCACAAAGGGGAGCAGTCAGGGCAAAGGTAAGCCAGAGCATCTAGTACCTCTGATGCCATTGGATTGACTGCAATGAGCTGCTGTCAGCTTGACTCCATCTCAAGCAGTCAGTCCAATGTCTTCTTTACGTTTCTCTTTTCACTTGACATCTCAGGTTATTGTGCACAACATCCTATTAAAAAGTTCTTTCCCTTTGCTTTTTAAGGTACTAATTGAGAGTGTTTGTCTTTCAAAGCTGTTTTGATCCATAGAATTTTCATTGACTGCTTTTCAGAACTAGATCACTAGGTCTTTCTTCCTAACTGGTGTTGATCTGGAAGCTCCCTAAGATTCAACCCTTTGTGTGACTCTGCTGGTTTTTGAAATACCAGTGGCATAGCTTCCAGTATCCTAGCACCACACAGGGGGACTGAATTGGCAACTCACTTACAGTTACTGTCTGAATTGCCAGAAGAGTTTAAATATTAAATTTGACACAGATTTAAAAAAATAAGTTATCATAATCATTGTGTAACTTTTGGAGAAATTAATTCCTAATATTGTATAGTATAGACTTCATTACTGAGTATAGCCATTGTTCATGTATTCCTACTGTATCTTTAAAATTTCCTTAAACAGGAAGTTTATCAGATTCCTACTAAAATATACTTTAAGCTTCTACCAGAAAGTTTCTAAAATTTCCTGGTAAAATATAGTTCAAATAATTAAAAATGAGGTCATAGAACTGGAGCAGATAATTATTGATTAATATTAATCCCTTCAGTGGAGGAGCCCTGGTAATGCAGTGGTTATTGCTCAGTTAACCAAACCCATCAGCCACGCTCTGGGACAGAGATGTAGCAGGCCACTCCTGTGAAGTTTTACAGACTCAGAAACCCTGTGGGCCAGAGGCTGCGCTGCAGCCCCAAAAGCACACAGTTCAACCCCACCAGCAGCTCCTCAGAAGGATGGTCATTCTCCACCTGTGCAATTAACTGCCTCTGAAAACCCGCTGGAGGGTCAGGTCAGCTGGTGCACAACAACAACTTCCCTCCTGTAGGGTCACGGTAAATCAGAATTGACTGACTACACAGCATTGGAGGGTTTTTGTTTTGAATCCCTTCAGTGTCTCCAGAGCCATTATTTTACTCTGAAATATGCTGTTTTACATCAGGATGGGCAAACTCTATGCTCAGTTGTTAAATTATAAGGTTAAATAGCCTAGAAAAGTCATCTCGCCCAAGAAATTTCCAAGCCACCAATAAAATAAAGGGGAATATTTCCATTTTAAAAATTAACTTTATAAAAAAAATTAACTTTACAATTTGGACCTTATTTTGTAAGGGAATCTCTCTATGAAGCATTTGTTTTAAGTGTTTAATAGTAATGTCCAAAGAAAGCTACAAAGCTAGTTACAAAGTTCAAGGATAAAATTAGCTGAGCATGTGGCCTATTTACTGTACCTATTTGTCTTTATAGTAATTGGTATATATTGAAACAGCTATGAGCTAAGTGCACCTGCATTTTCATTGAGAGGAGTATAGTGTAGGTTATGTATAACTGGAG